GAAATTTTACTCCAAAATATTACTCCGTGGAATAAAGAGTATTTGTAACTATAGGCCCTTGGAGATCAACATGCCCTTAGAAGTGTCTTTGCTTCTATCAGCATAACCAGACTAGACCTATCAAAAGAACAATCAACTTCTCTTCCCCTCCCTACTATTTCACTATATTGCAGAAAAGAAAATCAAGACTGTTAACCAGACTTTGTCCTAATCATTTTAAACATCATACCTGTCTCTCGGGTCAATTTATAACTCAATCTATTTCTCCCCATCTATTCATTCTCCCAAGTATCTATTCATCTTCCCTAGCAACAGAATTACCTATAGTCCTCACCTCTCTCTCCCCTCTAAAAGGGAGGGTATAAAAATATCAGGCTCCCACTAGGATACTGAGTAAGCACTCTGTGATGCTCCCTATGAATATGGCAAATAAACCTCTTCACCTTATTAATCTGCCTTAATTGTGAGTTGATCTTTTGGGGGAAAGAGGAAGTTTCCCCTTACCCCCACAGTTCAACAACTGCTCACAGATGTTGAGGAATTTCATTCATTTGTTTAATACATGTTTGAATATGGAGCAAAGAGCAGAAGGCTTCTGCTTGGAGCAACTTTATACTGAGGCCTGACAGCATTTGGAGAGAGATCCTGTCATACCAAATAGAACATCCATGGATTTTGAGGCCTTTACCTGGCCCAGCTTCCCATGCATATACTGGAGCCTGTGTGAAGGAGAACAGTCACAATAAAATCAATATATGTATGTGTGACCCACTAATGTTCCTATAGTACCTAAATTAATAGGTATAAAATGGGATGTAGCGAAACATCTCCCTCCCACATGTGTCCCCAAATCACCCATCTCATTTCTCCTCCCTTTAGGTAACTAAAGGTAATAGCATCTGTTGTATCTTCCCAGAAATATTATGCATATGTCTATATATTATATTTTATATATGCTAGTTTCAAAAGTAGTTGAACATATTTATCTATGATAATTAAGATAATGTATTATAGACAAAGAATAGAGAACAAAGAAAGAGAATAATAAATCCAGACACGGACTTAAGTGTACATGAGTACATGTGTATATACACATATGAATTTAGTATATGATAACAGCAGCATTTCAGATCAATCAGGAAAGACTAGATTATTCATTAATTGTTATCAGTACAATAGGATACAATAGTGTAAACCACAACAAATTCCAGATACGTTTGAGAAATAATTTTTTTTTTTTTTGAGACAGAGTCTCACTATTTCACCCTTGGTAGAGTGCCATGTTGTCACAGCTCACCGTAACTTCAAATTCTTGGGCTTAAACAATTCTCTTGCTTTAGCCTCTCAAGTAGCTGGGACTAGAGGTGCCTGCCACAATGCCCGGCTATTTTTTTGTTGTAATTGTCATTGTTGTTTAGCAGGCCCAGGCTAGGTTTGAACCCACCAGTCTTGGTGCATGTGGCTGGCAACATAACCACTGTGCTATGGGCACCAAGCCAGAAATAAATTCTTTTAAATAGAAACAATGATAGTCTTAAAATATGTAGATAAAATGTCAGGACTTCTAGTTCATAATAACAGACTAAGCACACACATTTACTTCCTTTCTCTTACTCCATTATGTGCCAGCAAAAACAGTAAAATCAAAT